AGTTGGGTTTCCAAGTGACCAAACCTATAACTCTATTTTGTGATAACAAAGCAACTATAAGCATTGCTGCCAATCCAGTGCTACATGATAGAACAAAGCACATCGAAGTTGACAAGCATTTTATCAGAGAGAAAGTTATCACAGGCGAAGTATGTACCCCCTATGTCACTTCTGAGAACCAGCTTSCAGACATCTTTACAAAGGGTTTAAACCTTTCCAGACATCGTGATCTTTGTGACAAGTTGGGCATGATTGATATCTATGCTCCAATTTGAGGGGGAGTGCTGACAGTTGTTTATGTATTCAGGTTTAGTACCATAAGGGTACTGTTGGAATTTCTCCTCTGTTTATATGTTCGATTGTACTAGTATAAATAATAAAATCATTCTTTCGCCCCCTAAGTTCTAGAGGGCTTTCAGTCACACGACTCACCTCTCTTCTCTCTTCTCCTCTCCTCTCTTCACTTGCTCTTGCTCAACATCAGTCTCACCAATCAATATTTTAAAACCATAAAGTCTGACATAGAGCATGGGGCATAAGCTGCAAGGAAATATAGAGTAAGTTTGGCAAGCATGCCTTTCCCTATTGACTAGTTTGTCTTGAGAACTACATGAAAATAAACGAGTTTTGTAATTTATCAGGCCAAGGGTTAACTTAGCACCACTACTAGTTGGTCTTGAGAATAAAATCAAAATAAATGTGTTTAATAGTTCTTCCTTTTGCAAATAAACTAATTTGGTGGAAAGAAAGTAGTAATGGTGTATTCTCAAAAGAAATAGTAAGATGATTAGATAATTAACAAAATTAATAAAAGTATGAATAAACTAGATGACCAACTAATAACTAAATAACGAATTCAACCATGTGGTATACATGATGCAGCAAAGTGAAAAATTAACACGTAACCATATGACTTTATTGAACTCCATATTGCACTTATGAATGCTTTGCATGTCTATATTCTGATATCAAAGCATGAAAGTATATTACCATACCCAAACGCATGTTCTTTTCTATTATAAAAATCATGTTGTGAAAACACATTTTGCCAAAAACCCATTTCAAAGCACAAACAAATAGAAAAAAGGAAACAAAGGAAAAAGAAAAAAGTGGAAAATCCAGTTTCAAGGCCAAACAAATAGAATATTAAAACTAGAAAAAAGATTTGGGATTTCAAGTAGCAAAATAAAGCTACAAAACACATAATTTAGGACATTGTATTTAGATCCAGAGTTAAGAATTGGATTATAATAAAATCCCAGAAAGGAGAGAACTAAAGAGCACTTTACCACTCTTCTTGAGCTAGAACTAGAGTCTCAGCAACACTAGAACAAGCAATTAATGAAATCTTGTAGCAAAGACTGATAATAGAATTCCATCATACAGAAGAAAAGTAAGATAAAGAGAACATCTCAATCCAGTACTGGGCTCTATCATAAATATTCCCATCTCTTTAAAAATAAGACTTATAGGGAGGTTAGAAGACTGTTAAAATGAAGGTCAAGAACAAATAGTTGAACCCAAACATGAATCAAGAAAAATAAAGAAGAAACAAAGAAAAAGTAAGAAAGAAATGAAAAGAAGAAAGAAAAAGAAAGAAAGTAGAAACAAGACCAGCGAAACCTGTTTCTACAAATTGCCCCAAATAAAAGAAATACCACTCAAACAACAAACCTTCAAGTTTTTGTTTGGAAACAAGTATAGCAAGTTGTCTCATGATCAGTATTCTCAGTAAAATCTTGCTGCAGTTGAATAGGGGCAAGTGGTGACGGATTTGGAATTAAGAAATAGCAAACTGCTGCACTCAATAGGTGAAGACTTTACTCACCAGTGGCATTAAGCAAGATCCTAACCTTGGTCAAATTAAGGATGCAGGATTTCAAGCTGGTGAGAAAGCATGTTATGTCCAGGAACGGAAAAGAGGATGGTGAGAAGCTTGTTCAAGAATGTCAAAAGGTGAAGAAAAAAGGTAGAGACTGTAGAGATGTAGAGCAATAACTAGTGCTGTTTTTTTTTCTATTTATTGTGGTTCCCACTACTGCGTTAGTTAGTTCTTTTCTATTTGTTGTTACGCTGCTGTTAGCAATGTTAGTTTATTAGTTATTTGCTTATGTAAGCAGTAGGGGCTTTAATGTAATTGCCATCTTATTTTTTATGTTATTATAAATAGATGAGTGGGGCGGCAGCTAAGGCCAATCACTCATTTTCTCTCATCATTCTCTTCTCTTCTTTCTTTTCTTCTTCTTTTCTCCAATATTTTTTTCTTCTTAATCCGCATCATGAATTGGACTGATTACAGTCTGGATTTGTCTACTTGGCATCAAAGCAAGATCTAGGGCTTCTCATGTGTGTCCAATCCAGCCGACCACATGAGAATTGCCTAGGGCTGGAAGTTTAGAAAGAATTGTTAATCGGCTGATTCTTGGAGGTTACCAGAAGTTTTTAGCAGCTGTCCAAAGGTTTGGAGAGTGTTTTTGGTAATCAGGAAGAATCAGAGAAGGTTAAAAGGATCAACATTAGGGTTCAGACCAAGATTGGAGGTGGCAATCAGAGTTTTCTGGGTAAGTTTTTATTTTCTCTTGAGACCGGCATCAGTCAGAGATAGGTTGGACCTATCTAGAAGGAACGGCTGGGCTTCCTTCGTTTTCTCAGAGTTTTTCTAGGGTTTGTTCTTAACCCTACAACCAGACTTGACTGTGAATCTAATTGGAAGGTGCGGTTGAGAATTGTTCTTAACCCTACGACCAGACTTGACAGTGAACCTAATTGGAAGGTGCGGCTGAGAATTGTTTTTGTTCTAACAAAGATTTCTCCAAGTTTTTCTTTAACCCTACAATCAGACCTGATTGTTTTGGGTGATTTCTAAATCTGTTTCAGCATTCCAGATTGTTTTCTAAGTGAATTGTAGACTTGTTTCAGCTTCCAAACCTGGTTTTTGGGGAATCCCTTTGCTGAGAACTGGTTTCTCTTGATAAACCTATTACAGAAATGGTAGGAGCTGAGTTTAAGACTAAAGGGGAAGGCATTTGGGAGCTGAAAATGTGAGAGAAAACAATTTTCAGATCACTACTGTTAAATTTGATGGTTCTAACTACTTGGAATGGGCTCAGTCAGCCATGATGGCGATTGGGAGAGAGGGAAGTTAGGTTATGTGAATGGAGATGTAAAAACACCAGCCAAAGAAGATCATTCATATGCCAAATGGGTTCAAGAGAACTATTTGGTCATGACTTGGCTGTGTAACTCTATGCAGCCTCATATTAGCCACAATTATTTGTGGGCAAAAACAGCACTAGTTATTGCTCTACATCTCTACAAGATCCTTTCCCTTCATTTTCATGATGGATTGGAGGCTTCTATAACCACCACTTTTATTGACTCAAGAGTAGCCAATTTTTTATCAACTGACAAATGAGAAGTTGTTGAACATAGCTTCTGAGGATAAACGTTGAATACGGAAGATCAATCTCTCTGCATATTTTGGAGAATAAAACAAAAGAATTCTAGAAAGAACTTTATGAGTGGACTTGTAAAAAAGAATAGGATGAGATCATTGAGCAGTGATATTGTATTCTGTAAGTTTTTCTTCTTAGCATAATGACAAGGATGCAATATTCCAAATACTTGTAGACACATTTCATTTATGTATACCAACTTCTTTGTCAACAAAAAAAATAATAATAACAAAGGGAACAAGAAAGACTTTGATATGGAGTGGGAGGAAAAAATACATATAGATGAATGTCCATTATCGATTAGGGAAAGAGAAAAAAAAAAAAAAAAACAAACTATTAGACTGCAAATCGGATATAAGTTTCCAACTGTCTCGGGTTTCTCATTGAAAAGATAAACTAAGAACCTTCTGAGAATGGTAAGTTTTCCAGCATAATGTCAAGTTCAAATTTGAACAGTACCTCTGACAATTCTTTTGAAAACAACAGTTTCTCGGTATTGGATAACTTGGCTTTCTCTGCAATACTTTCAATAGAAGTTTTCTCCTTAGCTGACCATATTACTTTTTCCTCCTCCAGTTCCAAAAGGGCATCAGTAAGTTGCTGAGTATCAAAAATGTTACACTTAAATTTCATATATCATCAGGAAAATGCATGAAAAAAAAGATACATGTCAAGCAAATAATAATTGGAGAACTCTTATCATTACCATTGCCAACTCTTCTTTTTCTTCTGATAACAACTTGATAGAACTTTCCATTCTCTGAGAAAGGGACTCACATTCATCCAATCTCAGTCTCTGCAAAGAAGAGAAGAGAAAAAGAAAGCATGCTAGTCATTAAACTAAGAATTTGACAAGATGGATTTATTCTGAATCTTCAAATTATGGGAACAGGGAATATATATATATAGTGCAAAAGGAAATGAACAAAAAATTACCATGCTTGAAATCTCCTCCTCCAACATTTTTAATTCTGTGTCTGATGTGTTCAATTTGTTGGAAGTAGCTTCCAATTCTGAAGCTAAAATTTCATTTCTAACAAGGGCTTCCTCCTTTTCTCCATTTGCAACTGCCAAATCCTCTTCCAAAGAAGCAATTGTTGTCTCCATCTCAAATGCCAGAACTTCTAGTTTCTTGTATTCATCCTATCAGCAAAATGCAGGAAATAATAAAAAATTTAGAAATTTTAGCTTTCTTCAAGCTCCAAGAAATTTAAGCTTCCATAGCCAAAGGGATATTAATAACTGACACCACTAAACAGTTTTTTTTTTATCAATAACAGAATTTCATTAGATTTATAAAAAAAGTAATTACAAGAATAGGAAAGGTAAACTTTCTTAACTCTTCCCAAGGAAATTGGCTAATACAATTGAGCCCAAAACAAAATGATTTCTTCCCATCCCCTTATTTTAGTAGTATATCAGCAAACCCATTTGCAGTTCTTTTAACCTAACTTTATTTTTTGATCAGCAAAAAATTTTAATTAATGGCTTAAAAAAGGTTATTAATACATCAAAACCCCATTATGAACCAGCCCAGAACAACTGATGTCTTGTTCCACCCTATTATACCAAAGAGTCAGCAAACCCACTCGCACTCCTGACATACTTAAACTCAGCCCCTATGTCTTCCGCAATCTCAACCACTTCCCTCATCACATGTCACAAAGTCCAAGGGGTATGTTTGCTGGTGTTTGCCCATGAAATGACTACTTTTGAATCCCCTTCTACCTGATGTCTTGTTCCACCCTATTATACCAAAGAGTCAGCAAACCCACTCGCACTCCTGACATACTTAAACTCAGCCCCTATGTCTTCCGCAATCTCAACCACTTCCCTCATCACATGTCTCAAAGTCCAAGGGGTATGTTTGCTGGTGTTTGCCCATGAAATGACTACTTTTGAATCCCCTTCTACCTCAATCAACATGTAACCCAAGTTGTTTGGCTAATCTGAGGCCTTGCAAAAGAGCCAACAATTCAGCCTTCACTGAGTTCCCCAATTGGTCCTGAAAATAATGCCAGAATCCTTCCCTCAGAATTTCTTATTACCCCTCCTATTCCTGCCATTCCCAGATTTCTACTGGAGCTCCCATCAAAGTTCAGCTTGACTTTGTTGCCTTCTAGAGATTTCCAATCCACTTTTACTCTATCTAACTTCTTGAAGAATGAGCTACTTCAGCCAAAGCTCTTAAGATGTCAGTGATAGAAAAAGTTTGAAAGCAATCCAAGGTCTTTACCCATAAAGCTACCTTATTTATGCTATCTATCACTTCCTCCAAAGTCCTGCCTTTTTCAGAGAAAATCCTGTTATTACTTTCATCCCAAACCACCCAACAGATTGCTGCTTCCCAAAGTATCAGAAACGCAAGATGTATCAGTAAGGCAATTCCAAGAGACGTATCAGGATACTCTTTGGATACGCATGGATATGGACAAAAAATCAAGATATGCATAGATACACTAGGAAATTCAAATAAACCATAAAAAATATATTAATAACAATAAATATAAGTTTTATATGACCATAAATCAGTTATTTATAAACATTGTGATACATTGGAACACAATTGATAACGGTTGAAAAATGATGGGAGAATTAGAATTTCTATGTATATACCTTAATTTTCATAAAATCAATATAATTTGTACTACTTTTTATTAGTATATGTTAAAACTGTTAATTATCTATGTATTATGGGCCGCAGGGGTACTGTGGTCCTTTTACCTTTTATTATGTTCTAAATGTGTTGCCCTACCATATAACTAAAAGCTGGTGCCGCCAGCAAGGATTTTTGCCTCTCCATTTTCTGTTTCTCTCTTCTTCTCTTCTCCTCTCTTATCTCTTCCTCTCTCTGCTTCTCCTTTCTTCTCTTATTTCTGCCCAGAAAACATGGTATCAGAGCAAGTTCTGTGGGCCTGAAGACAGATCAAACCTTACTTTTCCTTCCTCCTTGCTGTTTTTTCTAGACCGATCAAAGGAAAAATCATACTAAACTGATCTGAGAGGAGTTTCTATCTTTTTTTTTTTCATCTTGGCGGTCTGCCAAGACAGAGCTGCCTGCTCGTGGTGGCAGAATGCTGTGAAGTTTTTCTGTGGTGTTTAACACCTGTATGGATCGTGTGATCCTTCCTGTACCCAGATGGGTGATGTTTATTGGTCGAGAATGATTGGTGACAACTGCAACAGCAGAGGTAAGTCCGGTTTGGTGACTGTGGCCATTGTGTGACCTTTTTTGAATAAATGATTGTGATTGAAGGGCAGTTCTGCCTTTCCTTTAGACTGTGTCAATTTGGCGGATAACCTAGCACTGTGACTGTGTTTCTAGTTTCCTTTCCTGGCTCCCTAGTGGTGTTGGGTGGCTGTCAGACGTGTGAATTCTCCTTCTGGTAAAGTTTTTTTCAGTGCTGTCCTATACCAGAACCTATATTTGTGTGTTTGAGACATCTGGATTGTAGTTGGAATTTTTTTTAGTTGATATTCCATGTCCTCTGAGGATACAGCTACCTCGGGTATATCTTCCAGCCATAGTGAACTAGGTGGGAGTGTCGACATGACCTTCCCCATGGCTGTTGTTCCTTTAGATGGCCTCAATTATTTGGAGTGGTCGAGAGGGATTAAGCTTTACATTACAGCAAGAGGAAAGATAGGGTATATCAATGGGAGAAATAAGGAACCAAGAACTTGGAGTGCTGAACACGACAAATGGAATCAATAAAATAGTATAGTGATGTTGTGGCTACTTGTATCTATGCTCCCACAAGTAAGGAGAAATTTTATGTGGGCTGAGACTGCTGTTGAAATTTGGGAACAAGAAAAAACAACCTATTCAGAACAGAGACACTATGCGAAAATTTATCAACAGCAAGCTGCATCTACCACACGTAAGCAAGGGGAAAGAAAGTCCATCCATATATTACTTGGACTTGACTTCAATTTGGAAGGAGCTGGATCACTACCAGAATATGAATTGGATATGTGAAAGTGAGGCCAAACCGCCAAAGCCTACTAGACTCTTGTCTCACAACAGAGGGTGTTTGCATTTCTATTGGGGCCAAACCCTATGTATAGATCTATTAGGGTTCAAATCCTTGGAAGCAAAGACCTCCCTTCAGTCCAAGAAGTTTATGCTTTAGTGCAGTCAGAAGAAAGTAGAAGAAATGTGATGAATGCTTCTGAGGGGGAGCCAGTTGCTTTGATAGCTAGGGGTGGTACTAATGTGAATGGCGATAATTTTTTCAAGAAAGGTGGTTCCCAGAAAAGAGTGGAGGACAAGGATAAACGGTGGTGTACTCACTATTAGCAGCCTAGACACACTAGAGAGACCTTTTGGAGTCTTCATGGGATGCCGAAGTGGAATTAAGAGTTGAGCAAAAAATCAACTGATCAAAACAAGAAGACAAACCAGCAAAGCCAAAAGAAGTACAATTCAGCAAATGTGGCAACTCAAGAGACTTCTTCCCACACTGTATCTCAGGATTGCCCTACCATTTCTAATCCGGACCGTGATAACATGGAACTGTGTGGTAGGACACTTCGTCAGATGGGCTTTGGTCCTACACCATCTACTTCATTTGCATCTACATCAAGTAACTGGGCTATTGCCTTCCATGGGTCATCTCACACATCTGGGTCTCCTTTGATCATTAACTCTGGAGCCTCAAACCACATGACGGCTAAGTCTAACTTGTTCCAGGCATATAACCTCCTCTCTGGGAGAGACAAGGTGAGACTAGCCGATGGGTCTTTCTCTACCATTGCTGGTCAAGGAATCATCTCCCTTCCATTTGGCCTCACTCTCTCTACTGTGTTGCATGTTCCTAAATTTCCTATCAATTTACTTTCCATTAGCAGCATTACTCATTCCTTAAATTGCTCAGTAACCTTTTTCCCTTATTGTGTTTTTTACGATTTGACCTCCGGGGGGACGATTGGCAGAGGTAATATGGTGGATGGTCTCAGTAGGCGATCAAGACTACAATCAGCCTTGAATCCTAATGGATTTCAGATTAGAAAAGGTAGAAGAAAAGTAAGGAAAAGAAGAAAAGAGAGGAGAAGAACAGGAGAACACAAAG